AGTACATCGCCACGGGCTCAGGCGAAACTGCCGTCAGAATGGCCAGAACACCAGCCTTCCTCGCGCTCGTGTCTCTCAGAATAACGCAAGTTCCGAAGCTCGACTTGCGTCCACACGCATCCTTCGCGCCAATCCCACCGTGTGCTCCCCATCGGCAATCTCTTGAGGCTGCTGTGACAAGACGCCAAGGTTTCGACGCCACGTCTGATTCAGAGGCTAGATTGAATGCTACATGTGCTCACAAAAACCTTGCGTGTGAGAGCCGGGGAAAAGGGGGGGCCTGGTGCAGCAAGCGACCCCAGCGCTGAGTTTGAGCTTGTGATGTTGTTCCACGGTCGGTCACAAGCTTGCTCGTGACAACAAGAAAAAATGCGATGCTTCAGACGGCAAAGCCATGTAAGCCACATCGAGCAAGCCGCAACCATGTCGGAGTTGGGAACTACTCGCGCTGGGACAGTGTCTCGGAGATTTTGCGGTGAGAGCCGATCGTGTTCGCTGCTTCCGTCCCGATTCGGGACAAGTGACTGCCCAGGACTCTTCGGCATCGGCGGCCTCCCCTTGGCTCTATGGCTCAGTCCGATTTCTCACGCGCAGAACGGCTTGTGGTCACGACGGCGTGTATGGCGTCGTATGCCCATTGCAGCGAGAATCCGACCCGGAACCAGGCGCGGTGTGCTTGAGACTCGCATGGTCTATCAAATACATTTGAGGAGTGCGTATCTGTCCTCAGTCTCGCGGGGACTAGAGCGGAGACGATCATCGGCATCAATCTGACTCGCAGCATGACGAGGGATCTGAACCGCGGAAAGAAAGTTACGAAATTTAAGGTTCTGCCGGTGGGACCGCACCCGTGCAGCTCCGTCGACGAGGACGCCCACAGACGCAAGGCCTCTGTCATTGTGTTTGTGCTGCCTAATTACGAGTCAGGCGCGGCTGAATCGCAAGATGCTCATGACCTCGCATGGCAACAGGCGAATTGCTCCTCGCACGACACTACCCTAGACCGGGGCCGCTTTGGACACGCATAGCGATGTTCGTCGGCTCCGCAAGTAGGGGAAAAGAGGCTGCAACGACGCGACAAAGCTGGTACAGCAAATATCACATCAGGCTATGGTACGGTCAATGAGAGTTTGCGCCGAACAGCGGATTGTGCGTACATGATCAGGAGTCGGCCGTAATTCGCAGAGACCTGAAAAGGCGCAGACGACAGCAACATCGATTACAGATCCCCTAGTGTGGCAAAGCCCGGGCTGCTTGAAGCGACCGCCCACTCCGACATGAGGAGGAACAGAAGGCTTTTTTTTTGGCTGCAGTGTCGAGTATCGGTTCGGCCATCGGCATTACAGGGTGTGCTTTGTAGGAGTTCGACCGCCTCGGGTACCTTCAGCCAATTGTCGGCACGCGTACTTGGGGTAATGAAGCTGCACTACCCTTGTGGATGGCCAATTCGGCCTCAGACCGCGACTTGCGCCTTTGTTCTCACGGCGAAGTACCGGCTTTGCTCGACTACATTATCGAGTCTTATTTGAGCTAAATCGAGGAACGAAGCCGTGCAACAATTCCTTCGTTGTTCGCTCACAACGAGCGTCGACCCTTTAGCGCTCATGCACCAGTGGTCTTGTCTTCGACAACATTAATCAGCCATCTCAACCTGGTATCTCAGGTCTGCTTGACAATACTCACTTTCCAATCTGCTTCAAAGTTCACGCGTAGCCTCGCAAATTGCAAGCAATGCACACATTGACATCAACCACAACGGCGACGTTCGCTGTTAGCTGCATTACCCATGTCTGTTTGCCCTTTGTACCGAGGTACCTCACACACTTTGCCAAACCAAGCCTGGTCATCTTGTTCCTCTTGCCTCGCCGCGCATTGCCGAACGCAACCTTGTCGACCTTCGATCCCATCCAGCTGATGCAAATCGATCCCATTGTAGCTTTGCCCGGGGTCTTTCATGCTCCCCTGCACAAAAGAGAAGCTCCAACGATCTGCGCGTGTGCCTGCCTTTCCACAGGTCTGTCAGCACTCAGACTGCATTGACTGCTCACTGGTATATTCCCACGGAATACTTGATGCTCTACCACTCAACCCGGAAATGAAAATTCGAGAGATGCTTGCCCACGATACCTGGTCTTCCGCATGTCGGCCAATTGTTTTTCGGACTTGAGACAGTCGGTGAGTACTACGTATCTGTCGACGGTCGATACTTGGCTATCCGATCTTACCTGCTTTTCCCACGTCTCCCACATCAACACTTCATCAAAGTTGGCAACATATCGAACGGCAATCGCCCTGCCTCGGTCATCGGCTCCCACCAACCTCTGTAGACGTGCCACACAGGACAGCCAACAAATCCAAACGTTCTGACCTCAGGCTGCAGCACGTGTCAAAAACTTAACCATTGCATTGATACCCTGCGCCCAGTGTCGCTTCTTGCCTACACCAGCCTGGTTGTCGTCTCCAAGTCTTGTGTCTCTCACCAAGTCTTATGCCTGCACTCAACCACAATGCTCAAGCACATGCGCATCTTCGAGCCACCGTCAATATTTCCAACGTATGTCGTCCGCCCGGTCTGTTAATCTCATGCTTTTGTTTCGGTGCAAGTGCACGCGACCGATACACCCACGCAACTGCTCATGCACAGCGGTTGCTCATGCATCCGAGCTTGCTCAGATGTGTCGAGATCGCTGTGGACGGGTCTTGGGATATGGGTCCATACCCGGGCGGTTGCTTCCCATTCTAATTGCCTGTAAATGGTCGCAGCCGGTCCGAAGTCCGGTTGTACGGATCCCCAAGCAGAGAGTTAAAACCAGGAACCCAGACCCCAATGCCGGACCTGACCATGACCAACCTCTTGCAACGTCAGATGCTTACCGCTTTGAATCCTTCCCTCGAGCAGTAAGGCAAGCCCTTTGCATGTCTTGCGGGAATTTGCACAGCCGGAAATCTCGAATCAGCCTTTGGAGATCAGTCAAGTCAAAGTCACGAGCACCCCTTTGTGGCGTGTAAGCTGCTTGTGCGGTGGCTTTCATTTGATGAGGTTCCACGGAAGCACAAACCGCGCGGTGCTGAGATGGGTCGAGGCCGAGATTTCCCAAGCTAGATGTGATCTGCCTTCACGCCCGACGTTTCGTGACCACAGATCTTATGGGTCGGCTATTGAATCTCGCTAGGCCGATGGTTCAGATGCTTTAGGTGGCGCAGAGAACCGGTCCGGGCCGTGTCTTTTGCACACACAAAGCACAGAGTCGTTGTCGGCCAAGCAATGGACAGAGCAAATACGTGAGGGACGGTAAAAGAGAATGTGGTTTGCCTCCGAATTTTGTCATTGAACTCCGGTATGAACACCTACGACGGCCTATGGCGCGATCTCCCAAGCTAGCTTCTTGCCGGCCCAGAAGGGGACTACCTGCACCTTTGACGGATCGGCTTCGGCAGTCTGCTCGAATGCGGGGTGAACAAAGACGGGAGGCACCGTCGACGAGTTCGAGCCAGTTCTGCGCAGCTTGATCGCACCCTTGGCCAGCTGCTCGGGGCTGTCGTATCCGTAGAATCTCCTGCCATTAAGGCTGACGTAGTTGGCAAGCTGGTCCAGAGCACCGAAGCCCTCGAGCAGCGAGGCGCACAATGGCACCAGGATCGGAGAAGTGTAGACACCAGCTGCGCAGCCACAGGCGACCACACCCGTGGGCTCAAGATCTTCTCCGTTGCTTGACGTCTTGACGCCAGGAGCGCCGTGCGTCACTGCCGAGGGGTACTTGTTAGCCAGTGGGTGTGGCGCCGAGTCGGAACCAAGGAAGAACCGCGGGTGACCTGAAAAGAGCAAAACAGAATCGACACAGCGCGCCAAGGAAAGGAGATTCAGAGTGGTAAAAGATGTTAATTGTGCGTCCATTGGTCTACACAAGCTCTGATTGAAGGTTGGGAATACTCAGCGAACTTCGGCTGAATGCTACTTACCTTCGCGAACAACGTCCCTGAGCGCTTCTCGGTCGTCAGGGTACTTGGCGACAGGCTTGCAGAAGTTGAGAGGCTTGCCAGCCCAGTCATCGACGATGAGTTCGAGGTGGTGCGGAGTGATGGTGCAGCCGACGGTATCGCCGCACTTTTTGACAGCCTCTACGGCCTTTCTGGTGGTAGCGTGTTCGAGGACGATGCGAAGCTTGGGGAACTGGTTGTGAATCTTGAAGAGGTGAGTAAGGAAACGCTCTTCTGCGTTGAGGACGCAGATGCCCTGTTCCGGGTTGGATGGTACCTCGCCGTGAAGGTTGAGGACCATGTTGTGCTTCTGCATCTCTTCAAAGATCGGATAGTAGGTCTCGTAGTCCTCAATACCGCTGTCAGAGTTAGTGGTGACGCCGCGAGGATAGCTCTTGACGCCTCGGACGCCGGCGGCCGCAGCCTTGGCGATCTCGGCTGGCGTAAGCGCCGGAGACAGATACAGCGTGCCGAGGAACTCGGTGTTGGGCGCAATCTTCTTCAGCGATGCAAGGTATTCGGCCGCTTGATCTGCCGAAGTGATGGGTGGAACGAGGTTTGGCATCACGTAGCCGAGCGAGATTCCGCCCTCGGCCACGTGCGGAGTCACCAGCTCCGACATCTGTCCTTGACGAAGATGGACATGGAAGTCAGCGGGCGCCGGGACTTCGATTTCGTGGAGCGACATGTTTCTGATATGCTTGGCAGCGCTACGGAGTTGGGAGAGACGGCTGTCGGTATGGATATGCGGGGACCTGGTTGGAAGAGAAGGCGCTGAGGATGTCGTGAGTGCGGTTTGCTCTTTTCTGGGGAAAGGCACAAAAAATTCCACCCAAGACAGCCCGTGCATTTCAATTACGACCCTGCTCCGCAATGCCGCCTTCCAGCCATTCTCGGAAGAGGGAAGTACTGTATTCTAGGCTTAAATTCGAGATTTCAACGCTCGCCTTGACTGTGAAATAATACCGCGAACACGGAAAAATATGTCTAGACATTTAATGGAATCAAAAATCCAAAAAAGTGGGGCCCGGCGGGAGTCGAACCCGCGACCTCTCCTACTTTCTAGCCGATTTAGATCCGCTGGGATGGAAATGCCCGAAAGGAACGTGATATCCACTACACTACGCGCCCGAGTTGGCAGCGGATAGCTGTATAGTACACATGTACCTTTACCATGAAGCCTAGGACCAGACGTTCACGAAGATGCCTCACCTCCTCTGACCCTGTTGTTATTTTCGAGTGGCTCGTGAATCGTTATCCTTCTCAAGTCTACGCCTTGATTCGCAGCAAAGTTAATTCGACATGAAGATCATATTCTTCTGATCGCTTGCTGTGCCGGACATTGAGTCTGACCTGACACTATCACCTATGAGCGAGCTGCAAGTGTGTTTCTCTTTCAAGCCGGAAATAGACACGCCGAGCCGTGTCACGCGCAGCGAAGCACAGACGAGTCGAGCTTCCGTGTGTTTTCGAGTGACCGGGCCGATGTGGAGGCTTGCATGAGGGGAAACGTGGCGGTTGGATCTGGCGGGAACCCTTGCCCAACCCAACACCCTTCGCCTATCCTCGATCATCACATAGCAGCATTCACATCATCAGCATCATCTTAAGTCACACTATCACCTCACAGTCGCAACACTTGAAAGCCCACTGCGTCACGCTCAATAGCCAAATATGAACTCGTTCGGGATCCTCCGAAGCGGACTGCAGGCCTCTCACGTAAGTGCACATGTCTCTGCTTGTCCCGACATGCTATAAATCCAAACAAAGGAGGATAGGCGAGACTGACACATTGTTTGAGAACTCACCTTATTCACACGATGGTCTTAATTTCGAACAGGGCTTTGCGGCGTCAGGGGCACGTGTGGGACTCGGTCTTCGAACCCAACCCCTGCAGCAAGTTCAACAGGCTCGCTCCTACTATGGCAAGAAGCTGAACCCAAAGGCGATGATGGAGCAGCAGGCTCGGATGGGCCGACAGGTGCGCGTCCAAACTGCGACACACTCGGCCGCCAAGGGCCCTAGACTTGGATTCGTAGTTGGAGCATCTCTGATTGCTGCGACTGGTCTTGGATTGTACTCTCGACCGGGAGTGATGTGCGAGTCTGCTCGACCATACGCTGTCTCCAGCCCTGCTGCTACCACTGAGACCCCCGTTGCCGTCGAGACAGAGCCTCAGAGCATGGTTTCCATCTACCAGCTCTCGTTCGGTACCGTCTGCGGCTTCTGTGCAGGTGTCTTTATTAAGAAGGGTCTCAAGCTCATCGCCTTCCTCCTCGGCGGCACCTACGTCCTCCTTCAGTACATGAACAGTCAGCGTCTTGTCACCGTGAACTGGTCCGCCATCAACTCCAGATACGACAAACTCGTCAACTCCGCCGCAGGCTCGTCCAACTCCGTTCAGACCACTGGCTTCCGAGGCTCCAAGGCAGGCCGTGTCTGGAACAACTTTACCAACTTCCTCATGGCCGACTTCCAGCCCCGTGCCACCTTCATGGCCGGTCTCCTTCTTGGTCTGCGTATCGGCTAAACGCAACACCCTTCAATCACACAATGCAGATCCATTTCATGTAACACGAGTAACGCAAGTAATACATCAAGGTATCTTATTCATTCTTAGAACCAGTGTCGTTCATCCGAGTCCGTAGCCTATAGCATCCCACGGACGTGACTATGGTTCGCCGTTGACAAGGTCGCAGAGGCGTAGCACGCTCGCTGACGCTAAGCGGAGAGAGGCAGCGACGTCGTTGTGTCGAACAGTGAGCACGACTGAGTGTGCGAGCATCGACCACGGGGATACGTGCGACTGAAGCACCAGTGTACGGCTCAGTCTGACCTATGGTGGTCATTGCTATTTCCACGGCGTGACAACTCCTGCGTCTCATGAGATGCAGGCAATGTGTCTCGCGTAGCGTCCATTTTGATATTAAGCACTTGGTCGGCTTATTTATTCCAGTGACATGTAAGCAAGTGAGTGTATATGTGAGATGCTATTGTGATATGGTATATTGTGAAAGGAGCGAGTCAAGTGGTCTCAGTCCACGCGGGTAGGCTTGCGAGGCCGCGTGGAACGGCGCTGGGCAACGAACTCGAAGCCGCTAGTGTCGATGGCGTACATGTCTGGCGTATCCAGATCCGGAACAGTGTCCTTCTTTGAAGCACTTGTCGTTGACGCACGAGGCGATGTTGTCGAAGATGCAAGAGTCGACGTCTCGGACTCGGCAGACTCGGCACCCGCTCGAGCTCGTCGCTTGGATCTTCGACCCCGCGTACCCGGCGCTTTGGTGCCCTTGACCGCGGGTCCTTCCGCATTCGCCAAGGCAACAGTCACTGATGCAATCGGGAGCTCCTCCACGGCTTTCGCCGCAGACGCTGCAGCGACTGCCTTGCTTTTGGCTTTGTCGATCTTCTTTGTTCCAGCACTGGTCGCCTTGGTGGTGGCTTTGCCGCTTTCATCGCTGCCGTTGGCAACAGCGGTCTTTCTGGGCCTGCCCCTGCCTCTGCCCGTCGCCGCCTTGCCCTCTGGTTTGGCCTTGTTTTCCAGCTTGGCACGCTTTTGTGGTGGACCCGTCTCGAGAAGCTCCTTGACCGCCTGCTCATCATCCTGTGCCGCGTCGGCAATGGGCACAACGGGAGCAGATACAACAGCTACCGCCGCCGCTTGGGCAGCAGTTACACTGGACTTTGTCCTGCGCGCTCTTTTCTTCTTGACCGTGGTCTCCTTGACGGGCTGAAGCGTAACAAGTGTGGCGCATTTGGTCGGTGAAGGAGAAGGAGGAGGCGACGGCGACTTGGCCGCAGCCTCAGCTTCACGATTGCTCTGCTCATTCTGCAGACTCTCCAACCGCCGTTTGCTTGGCGTCAACGGCACGTAAACATCCTCCGAAGGCACAGCTCTGTTGCCACTTGGCGAGTCGACTGTCTCTCCCGTCGATGCTGACGTTGTCATGACCTCCACGGGCAGAAGTTTCTCGATACGAGGCGGCAGAGTCTCGATCACTGAGCGTGTCAGAAAAGGCGCAACAAAGTCCTGGCGCGGCTTGATGCGGTCGGTCTGAGGCGTCAGCGAAGGGGCCCGCAGCGCACGCTCAAAGGCTTCACTGGCATTGATTGCCTGAGCGGGTCGCTTGTTGACTGCAGTGACTCCCTCGTAAGAAGCGTTACGCTTGAAGAGAAAATCTGGCTTGCGAGCCATGTGCCCGCTGTTGGACGAAGCCGATTTCTTGATGGATGTCGAGCCAGGCATCAGATTGAGATGAGTCGTCAGTCCGAACGGAAACTCGCTCGGCTTTCCTGTGATGGCACGCTTTTCAAGACGTCCCGACGGGCTCCAGAAAGAGTTTCGAAGTGGCTGAGCAGATGCCGACTTGACACCAGTCGACGCGGCGGCAGAGGTTGTCAGAATGCCGTGTTGCTGGGCCTGTGCCTGGGATGGAGTTTGAACAACTGTCTGGCCTCGCTTCCACTCGTTGATGAAGGAGCGACTGAATTTCTCAAGGTGCTCGACACACTCGGCCTGAGTCGATCGGACACCAAAGAACTTGCGCGCGTTGGTATAGAGCAGGAGCAAATCGTCCTCAAAGCCCGTCAACACCGCGTTAGCGGCCATGCGACCACTGACAAGGTTGCTGCCGTACTTGCGTGCGGTGATAGCATCGCGCATGGTGAAAAGATCGACCGGTCGGGAGCATCGGGCCGAGAACTGCTCGAACTCGAACGACATGGGACGCTGGAAGGCCCAATTGGATCGATGTGAGAGCAGTTGCGAGATCAGGTTGGAAAGGAACGCATAGGTACGATCGAGGTCCTTGTTTGGCGTAGATTTGTCGGCCGGTGCGAGCGCGTCGGCAACCTCCTCAACCTGGTCATCGTTGACTACCTGAGATGTCAGGTCGTTGTGAAGATGCGCCGAGGCCACGACAGAGTCAGCACCCACATCACCTGAGCAAGTGTCGTCAATGAGCATCGGCTCGGAAATCATCTGGCTGCCGTGTTCCATAGCTTTGACGAGCTCAGTGCTTGTTGCTAGCGCTGCAGAGATGTCTTCAGCAGCCAGAAGTGTCTTCTGTCTCGAGACGTCGCGCGTAGGTGACTGGATGGGCGAGCTGGAAAGCTCGTCTTCGGCACGCATGTTGAGCTGCCCTGACGCGAGACCGGAGCGATCCGAGGACAGGTAGGGCGAGCTTGATCGACTGCCGCTGGAAGGGGGCGTGTCGAGCCCGACATTGTCTGCATGCTTTTTGCGCGGCGGTGACTCAATGTTGAGAGCCATGGATTCCGGGTTGGGACCTGAAAGGATTGAGACCGATTCTTCTGCAGGCGATAGCTGAGCGTCCGTGGAGTCAGCCAAAGATTCCTCTACAAGCGATACTTGTGCATGTGACGATCCCGTTTGACCTTCCGCGCGGTTTTGTACGTCGTCAGCGATCGATGCTGAGACCTGCATAGATGCCGTAGATGTATCTACCGGGCTCGCGTCATCAGTCTCTGTTCTCGACACCTCCATGTCTGTATCCACAAGCACGTTGGATCCGAGGACTTCGGCCATGTTCTCCTCTTCCTGCTTGCGCTTCTGCTCGTCGAGGACACGCTGAACATGGGCTTTGCGAGCGGCCATGCCTTCACCAAATTGGGTATGAGGATCACGATTGGCGATTGTGTTGGCCTTGGTTGTTGTTACAAGGTCTTTTGGCTGAGTGGTCGAGTTTTGAAGCTGGGCTGCCTTGAGCGCCTCCGAGGCGCTGGACAAGGAATCCGATAGCGAGGAATCGTAGAGTCTGGATGACGATGCCAACGGCTGGCTGGGCGAGGAAGTTGTTGACAGAGGACTAGCAGCGGAGGATGCAGATGGATCATCCCAGCGGACCCGGTTGGCGAGATTGCGTTTGGGCGTCTCGCCAGCTGACCATCGTAGGTGGATGAGCTCGCGATCGCGAATAAAGCCGAAGGACTCTTCAAGCACAATCGCGCGCTCATCCGAGCCCAGAGTGATGTGAGGCACCTTTCCCGGCGGGACCGCGAAGAGCTGGGTGGCTTTGGCGATGAGTTGATCCAAGGTGTCGGGAAGTGGCACGAAGTAGGTCTTGGAGGTGAGGGATGGGCCCTTGAGCATTACTGCTCGTCTCGGCTGT